TTCCTGAAGTCATAAAACGTAGGTGCGTTTAAATTATAAAAAATATATTCAAATACTAATAAAATTTTTAATAAAGCTTAAATCATTTTTTTTAATGATTAAAATTTATTTTTGTTTCAAACTTCCTCATTTTATCAAAACTTATTTTGTATTATTGTATTCACTCATATATCACTAGCATAGTTAATATATGTAAAATGCTTTATAATTACGATGATTCAAATAAAATATTTATCGTCAAGATGTAGTCAAAACAATTTTTTCTTTTGACTAGTGTATATAATTTTTTTTTATAAACGTTTGACGAATATTAATACTTTTGTTTTAATACGTTTATGTATACTTTTGTTTTAATACTTTTATGTATTATTTTTTGTAATATTCTCTAGTTGAGAATATTACAAAAAATATTTTATCGACTTGTTACCTTACGTTTGGGGTGATGGAAGGATGAAATTTTGGCGTTTTTTTTTCCCAGCCTCCAAATCCTTATTTGTTCCCTCCTCTTTCATAAAATGTTCCATAACTTTTTACAATAACTTTAAAAGTTCTATTTAAAATAGATTTTAACAAGATTTATATGATTAAAACTGTTCTTTATGCTTCTTCTTTAGTTTATAAAGCAAAATATACGATTGGATATCATTTATGATAAAAAGACTAGCACCTACTATGCTTGGTTGAGCTCAGAAAATTTGGTTGTAAATTTTTATCTACATATGAGAGTGTAATTTAAAGTGGATCACATGTGCGGCCTAGTGCGGCTTAGTGTTTATTGGCTTGTGTAAAGGTAGTAATATTTGTGTTAAAAAAAATGTTGCACATTTTAAGGGGTTTTATTGAAAAACATTTTGAAAAAAAGCAAGCATAAAAAAATAAATTTTCATATTTCTTCTTATTTAAATATATGATGTCAACGGACTAATATAAACTTTTAAGAAATTAAAATGTTGTAAAATTGTCTTGCTTCCCTCATATTTCATTTCTGTATGATTTTTTACATTTTCGCCATTATTTGAAAAATAAGACATTGTTATTTTTGTAGTAAAATTGATATAATGAGCTAAAAATTCACAGTAGGGAAAAATTTATATCAGTTTTAGAGTGCTGGGGATCTCTAAATTACATTTACAAAAAGAAATTACTCCAATATAAAAGTCGGTTTTGAAGGGTTTTGCTCACCTCTGGCCCACTGTGCAGTGGAAGAATTTTAAATTTTATAATTTTTTTCTTCCAAATTTTCAAATAATTACTTTTCTTTTGTAAAATATGCAAATGGCGGAGGCAAGAAAAAGACAAAAATAGTCTCATCGCCAAGCAACTAACAATCTGTAAATAATATTGTCATTATAAGCTTATGTGGCTTTCTGAAGTTTGAGTTTACTAGTTAACAATTACAATTTTGTAACTTTTGAAAATATACCTGAAAAATTAAAATAGAAGTAGTTGAATTAACAAATTTTCCTATTTTAGTATGTTATTTGAGAAAAAAAAAATCTTTTTCTAAAATAACATTTTAAAACAGGAGAAATATCGCATAAATAACAGAAATTTAAATAATTTTTTTTTTTTTTAACAAATAAAAGTAATGGTTATAAAAAATATTATCCAAGAAAATACTGATACAACACGCAGATATTTAGATAAATAGTTCTAAATTTTTTGTGCCCATAGAAAATATCGTAGTTCTTTAAACCAGTGCCATATTAAGATTTACAGGGTCTGGGATATTTTTGAGCAGAAGGGCATTTTTCTTTTTAAAGCGGCGAAAAAACCTTACAAAAATAATGCATCCTTTAAAAAATTTTGGGGTTCCTAAATCTGCGGGATTTGGGATTATAGCCCCCGTAATCCTGGGCTGGTTTAAATTTTTCCTCCTAAGTTTTTAAATAATAATAACTTTTACGCAAAAAACTTTACGTAAAAAGAACAAATAAATATGCCTATTACGCCTTTCAAGTAGTCTACTCATTCTGAGTATCTCATGGATATATTCTGCTAACTGCCATGTTTCAGCTTTGTATGAGTTTTAGACCATTCAAATGGTTGGCCAAGGATTGAATATTTTTGAGACGGTTTGATCCAAAGAATGGTTTTTATAGTCAAAAATATCATGGACTGGAACTACAGAGGGTTTTAATCATGGGCATAAACTTATTATTGATATTACAGGGAAAATATACCTAAAACCGCACTGATTAAATGTCGCTACAAACTAAATGTTATTTACTTAAAGTTTAACTTTTTTGTATTACTGCGGAACAAGATCCTCTCAAAGTTATAATTGAATATAAGAAATTTACTTATTTTTACATAGTTTACTTTTAATTTACTTTATAAACTATATATATTGTAAGCCTTTGTTATTTAAATTTTACTTTATATGATTTGGGGCATGGGGCTTACAGTGGCTGGTGAACTTTAATTCAGATTTTTTTCAGCCAATCATTATTGCAATAATTTAGACCATCCTATATTTATGAACGGTAATGTACTCGATGAGTCATCTATCCTTCATCTTCTAGGATTAACTCTCACTTCTGATCTATCTATCTTGAAAATCCTTATTTCAAATCCGTTGCAAAATTAGCATCTGCTAAAGTTGCATCTCATTATCGAGCTCGACACTTTCTTATTCTGAATTCTATTCTCTATCTCTATAAATCTCAAATCCGACCTTGTATGGAATACTGTTGCCATATCTGGGGCGGATCTTCTAATGACTCCCTTTCTCTTTTAGACAAGGTGCAAAAACGAATTGTAAACATAGTTGGACCTGCTCTTGCAGCCAACCTTCAACCTCTGGCATATCGTCGTAATGTTGCTTCTCTTTCTCTTTTCTACAAATACTATAAAGGACACTGCTCTAAAGAGCTAGCGTCTCTTGTGACATCTACTAAAATTCATTCTCGTGTTACTCGTCATTCAATTAAGTCTCATCCTTTTTCTGTTACTATTCCTAAGTGCTCAAAAAACTCTTATTCGTCTAGTTTTTTTCCTCGAACATCAGTTCTTTGGAATTCGCTTCCTTCATCTTGCTTTCCTGATTCATATAATTTGCAATCTTTTAAGTTGTCTGTCAATCGTTATCTTGCTCAACAATCTTCATCTTTTCTCTTCCAGTAACTTCCAACACTAATTAGTGGTTGCTTGCAGCCTTGTTGGAAGCGAAGATGTTTAAAAAAAAAAAAAAAAAATTATTTTCAATTAAAGTTTTTTGTTACTATTAAAGTAAAGAATGCCTACTTTAAAAATATTATTTTTTTGTAAATTTAGTTTACATTTGGTAGCAAAATACTTTTATGTAATTCATTTCCCTACGCAAGTTTTTTTTACAATTACGGTAATATATATTTTTTTAATTAGTTATTTTTATATCTAAATGTAAATTACAATTTGAGGAACTATTTATTAAGTAATGTAATTTTAAAAGTAAACAGTTTGTTCATGTGATTTTTTTTTCACAGGTAAAATTAAATTACTTTTTATTGTAAACCAATTAATTTTGAAAAGTAACTTCTTTTACATAACGCGAAGTTAAAATTATCTTGTTTTACCTCCACATTTTTTAGCTTTGAGATAAAACGATTTAAAAAAACAAAAACTTTAGGAGGCGGCGTAAAAAATTTTCTTTATAACTTATCATAAGTCTTTTAAAACTTATCATAAGGCAAAAATATAAGCCTTATGTTTTTTCGGCATTTTTCTTACTTATAACTTAGCTTTCAATTCAGTAGAAAGACATTATTTTGAGGAACACAACACTGTCATTAACTCAACTTTTTTCAGAAAATGGAGATAGAACAAGATAATTCTAACGTCACGATAAGTTAATTTTAAAAGTAAAAAAACTTACGTTATAAACTAAAAATCGTTTCAAAAAAATTAATTACTTATATGGTAAAATTTTGTTTATTGGTCTACTATTTAAATAGATATTAGGTTTTAGTATATAGAATGTGGAGATAAAATAAATCCAAATTTTTATTTTTGCGGCTTAGCACGCTTTGCAGATGGGCTCCTCATTTATCATGTTTTTTTTTTAAAAAAATGTTAACCAGAAAAACTGTTGTTGTCTCTCCTGAAAGGTTTGCTCATTGAAAATGCCTGGTTTCTGCAGTGGGTCATTTAATTATTATTTCGAAATATATGCACAAAAAAATATAAATTTAATTTACTCAAACATTAAACAGTTTTGTGTGGCCGAGCGAATAGTGCGATATGTTTCGATGCAAAAGGTTATGAGTGTTGCAGTCACAATTTATTTTTTTATTAAAAAAAATTGTTTGGTAGTTGCACACGCCTTCTGTATTTTTTAAAGACGAAATAATTCAATTAATAAAACTTTGCACAGGGCTAGTGTTATGAAGTGTGGGATCTGTGAGCATAAAGAAACTTAATTATTCTTTTACGTTGGCAAAATATGATCTTTAGTCAAAAAAAATTTTAGTTTAGAATTTTTTTTTATTGATTGGCTGGCAAATTATGAACAACGATGAGAATCTATTTTTTTTCTCCTCTTTTTAGGCGCTAGTACCACCCCTCCTTCCTCAACTGCCACACCATAGTGACGATCATGGTTTTATCTTATTTATTTTTAAATTGTTTATTCAATTCAACGAATAAAGTATATACTTGAAAAAAATTAAATATGTTTTTCGGTTGACAAACGTGCAAATATTTCCTTTGTCGTTTATAAAATTTTACTTTCCTTTGTTTTAGTTTTTACTATTTGATATAATTTTTGGTTAATTTTAGAGGACTTTTTTTTGTGATCCATAGTGAGAAAACCTTTGGTATTTTTTATTTAAAATATCTCTTGGAAAAGTAACGTTATATATTATTTGACTCGTTCACACAATAAGCGTAAATTGAAGCTGAAAAAGCTCAGCACAAATTAAAAATTACGTATACTTTAAACTAAAGCGGAAAAAATCTTGCTTTTCATAACTTTCTATTCTACATGGGGTTTTATTTTTTAATGTATACAGATCATTGTATTTCCTCTTTCTCACAAAATTTCTTTTATAAAACCCAACATCAAATTTTGTGATAGATACAGCATAATAAATATAAATATTACACTGAACTGTAAAATCACAATTAAAAAATTATTCCTCTTGACTCTTTACGCCAAGGCTCATGAGTAATATATGTTGAACTTTAACTGACAATATTTTCGGAAACGGATTCAAGTTTTTAAATTTATTTTATTTTAACAACTTTTTCCAGAAATTTAAGGATCAATGGATTCAGAAATACGAGTAGCATTTAAATATTTTTGGCAACATTGAATTGATATTAAGCAATCCACATTTATAAACATTTGTTCAGGTCTTTACGAAATCTTCTTAACTGATACACAAGATTCTACCATTTGAGAATATCGAGGTTTATTGTTAATTTATTCATACTGAACCTAAACCCAGCAATAAAAGTAATTACGATATAATTCAAGAAACTATAAAATAGCATGTCAGTAGAAACACACCAACACATCAAAAGCATAAGTAGACAAAGGCTCGATCCGTAAAATATTTATCGTTTTTCATTTGTTTATAGAATCAGCAACTCCTAAACTCTACCATAAAGTTTTCCCCTAAATTATTTGTCAAGAAGACTACATCTCCAGCATTTAAGTAATTTAAATATATATCTGAACTCTTTTTTCATCATTACATTTTATAGCATCTTGAAACATCACGTACTAAAAAGTGTTGCTAATTCCACGTGATATGTTTGGAACTAACATGCACTATAATATCTTGTATTTATTTGTTTTGAATGCTTGATAAATCCTAAACATTTATCCTAAAAAATCATATAGCAATATTCAAATTACAAATCATAATAAATGATTCGAGTTTTCTGTATAGTATGCGTGAATTAATCTAGTTGTTTCTTGGAAAAAAACAAGACCGACATAGAGTATTAAAAGCCGTGGGGTTTATGTGTTAAAGATGTCTATTAAACAGATGTTTGATATAATAAGATTGTTTTTCTTCATTATAAAGAGCTCTAAGATGTTTCTTCAGCATATACGTCTAATTGATTTAAATGAGGCTTTTGTAGATCAGGATTAATGTTAAACAAAAGCTTCAAACAATAAACCTAAAAAATAAGATTTAAAAAAAAAAATTAGTTTTGTACAAATTATAAATGCATTTATTGTATGCATCGTTATATTTATTATATTGTTATTGCACGTATATTTAATAACCTCAATAACAGAATTATCGATGATAGAGATTTCACCGTTCTTTGAAATAACTTCTCCATTTACATATATTGGTAATTTACCAATATTGCGTAGCAAAAAACGACCGTCTTCATGCTCAATAGAAACCTAAATTACATGCAAATAGATTTACTTTTGTTAATTTTTTGATTTTAATTTATGATTATTTTATTTCATCTAACTTTACTATTTTTTTTTACTTTATAATTTGCTTTTATTTATTGAAGTCCAGTTCAAAATATTGTAAAACACCTGTTTTCTTGATATTTTACGACTTGGACCTTCTATTGTAAGATCTACATCAACCTCGTGCCCATGCGCAGCTCTACCAATTATTAGCTAAAAATGAATAACGAAAAAAAAATTGTAAATGCACCTCGTTAAGTAACATGTAAAATCCGTCACGTCAAGTTTTTCAAATTTAAAACTTTAATTGATAGATCATAAAACCACATTTCAAAATCCCTAATAGTAGGGGGAATTCGTGATATATTAAGATATATTGCATAGCTAATGTTTCTACTATTAAGAGTAAAAACATTAGCTATGCAATATATCTTAATAATATTGAAATATCATTTTGACTTTCAATAAATCCCAAAAAAAACCCTCATATCCTCTATGCAAGTAGGCCAATTTAAAAGAAATAAAATATTTTAAACTAAAATATTTTATATCAGTTGATAACGTATTTAGAATAAAGCAAATAATTGGGACTCAATTTATAAACCTAGGGGGTAAAAATATTAAAAGGTTAATAAAAACTGCAAGTACTTTTCAAAAAAAAAAATTAAAATGTGTTTAAGTAAAAAGTCTCATTTATTTAGAATAGCAAAGTAATTTTTTCCTTCTCATTAAAAAACCTTTATATATATATATATATATATATATATATATATATATATATATATATATATATATATATATATATATATATATATATATATATATATATATATATATATATATATATATATATATATAAAGAAGTATAAAGTAAATATTACTCAAAAAAGTTACATCCCCCCACCCCACCCCAAAAAAAAAAGCCTGTTAAAGCAATCAGATTGATAAAATATTTTTTTTACTTTCTGATACTAAATTCAAATTTTTAAATAGGTTTAAAAATTTTATTTAATAATCTGCTACAGTACGAAAGATTTGACTTAGCAAAAACTTTGATAACTTCTCCAATGATATAAAATTGACCGAATTTCATTAAACAATTAATAATTACTATAACCCTGCATCATGAGATTTCAAAAATATATTAAAACCAAACTTCAAAAAGTTACTATCTACAAAGTATGTATTAGGTAATTTGTTGGAAATGTTTAAATGTTTTTTATTAAGAGTTTTGGTGTTTATTAGCTCTTGCTGGTAAATTATTTTGAGGTTAACATTAAAAATGCTAACAATTAGTTTACATTTTTAAACTTACTCAAGTTACATTTATTACCATCTTTACTTATTGTTTTTAATAATAAAGTTGAGCGAGAGCTATTAAAACAATGTCTACTATGATCTTTACCTATTGTTTTTAATAGTAAAATTGAGTGAACTATTTAGTAAAATTAGTTTACCAATTAAAACGTGTAAAAAAAATTAGAATTAAAAACTAAAAAAAAAAAAAAAATTAAATCTTTATTTAACTTTATAAATTTAAAATAAAAAACATTACAATGAAAATTGTACGGCGGTTTAAAGATCTTTTATTAAAAGCTAACTAAAAGTAGGAAAAATAAAAGAACTATTGAAATTGTATAAAAATTAAAATTCATTTCTATAAAAAAATTTTAAAATAATTATAATTTAAATGATCAAAATAATTATAACTTAAATGCTTGAACTGATAATCGCAACTTATGCGGTTAATTTTACGCTGTTTAATTTACAACTTTTTAAGACCTTTAAACGTTATGCTTTTTAGAAAAATAAAAACTTCTATTAGAGTAATATTAATGTAATAAAACCATTGTTGTATTCCACTGTATGATCACCTGTTACACTGCAAAATCTGCTTTAACTGAGAGTTTTACAATATAAAATAAACAACTTTCTTAACTGAAATGACACTCAGTGTAGCTAAGGCGATTTTAAAATATTACAGCGTCAGTATATTTTGCTTAACGCGACATATTTCCATTAAATGATAAGGTCTCGGAATTACGGAGATAAAGAGAAACAAGGGATTGTCCATAAACTACGCAAAGCTAAATTTATTTAAAGAACAGGAGCTTTATTACGCGGCGATTTTCATTAAACTTAAGGTGCTATTTTGAATTTTTATTTAACTTAGGGCTCTGCGAGGGAAAACTTTTGATTTTTATTAGTTTTTTAATAATATGATCCGTTATTTGATTGTTTAATAATATGATCCGTTACGATTGTTTATGTTGTATTGTGTACAATACAACATAAACAATCACAATGTTGTATTGTGACAACTATATAAATTATTGTCACAAATGTTGTATTGTGACAACTATATAAATTAATATGCACCAGAACAGATTAAAACTACGATCTATAGCAGGGTTAATGCAAAATTGATCTAAATGGTGCCTTTTAGGTTCATTATTAGGGGCAGTAAAATTTTTTTTGAAAATTATATAAAAAATAGAAAAATATCCTTAAACATCACAAAAACCTTAAGCAAATAAAAATTTATATTTTATTTTTAATAATTAAAAATAATATTTAAAGCTTTTGTTTAGACTTAATACGGTGACAAAATCGGATATCAAAAAAGATAAAAAATAATTGAAAAAAAATAATAATAATAATAATGAAAAGACCAATTTTTGAAAAATAAATTTTTACCAGATAACACATCCTCAAAAAATAAAAGTTTTGCAACTGCGTATTTGTACTCCAATATATATATAAATTTTTTTTTTTTTGATCAGGTTAAAATTTGAAAAAACTAATTTAGAAGTCATTAAAGAATTTTGGAATTTTAATGTTCAAAATTCAAGTCTCTAGAAAACTTGAACAACTAAAAGTTAAAACTTTTGTACTCAGTTTAAAAACTAATACACAACACCATATAGAACACCGCATAGAAAAAAAGATAATGCTATTTATAAAAAGTTTTTAACATTTGCTCCTCCCTCGCCTTAAAACCGATAAATAATTACGAATAAAGCTCTTGTTTTTTCTACCTAATGGATAGACAAATAACAATAAAATTACTTATAAAGTTCTTATATTTTCTTCCTAATGGATGAACAATAAAAAATAACAGAAAAAGCTAAACCTTATTTTTTTTCATGAAATATTTCAATATTCTCCCTTGCAGTGAAGCCAAATCATCATGCTTAAAACTTGTAAACGCTAACTCTAAATATGAACCAGATTTAAATAATTACAGGTAAATTGATCTAAGATAAACAAGTATAAACAGTATAAACAAAAATAATTTATTATTAATAAGAAATACCATTAATATTGTACAGGCTAAGTGACTATAAGATTGTACAGAATTTTAATATTGAGTATGCATATAAAAACATAATGAAAAAAAAATTTTCACAAAATAATGAAAAAAAAATTTATCACAATTTTAAAAAGTATTCTAGAGCATACAACTATCATACATCATAAAACATACAATTATCAAGTTATTTCTTAAAATTAAATTTTTTTCACTTAATAAAGTTTTGATTTTGAATATTAAATGATAAAACATAAATGATGTGAAAAAAATCCTATGCTCATCATAAAATGATGATAGGATTTTTTTAATCATTTATTTGATTTTTTTAATCTTTTAAATATTGTTAATATATATATATATATATATATATATATATATATATATATATATATATATATATATATATATATATATATATATATATATATATATATATATATATATATATATATATATATATATATATATATATATATATATATATATATATATGTATGTATATATGTATGTATGTATGTATGTATGTATGTATGTATGTATGTATGTATGTATGTATGTATGTATGTATGTATGTATGTATGTATACTGTCATCTAGGGCTACTTGGACCTGAATTTGAGACATGTTTGATGATTGTGGTTCTCTCCCATATCTATGTTTATGCAAAAAACTTGTTGCTAACTCATAGGCTTTGGTATTAGTAATGATAATTGTAAAGAAAAAAATGTTTAGGGGGGTGATCTGTATAGCTTTACAAGCTCTAGATTCCAGTTTTCTTTTATATTTGCAAACTATTTTGGCGGAACCAGTTATGATAGTACGTAGTATATGCAAAAAATTGTATAACAATAGCTTTAACCAACCATCAACTTTATTATTTTAAATATACATTATATAACCTAACAGATTGTTAACAAAACATTGTTACAACAGATATATCAACTCCTTTTAAATATATTATTACACTTGGGGTTTAATGTTAATGGAAAACAAATTTAATCATTTTCAAACATAAGCTACTACAATGACATTTGAGTTTAAGCACATTTTACACTTCAATTTTTATTTAATTTTATTTTAGTAACGACTTAGTTGTTTCCACAAATGATAAAAATTGAATTATATACAACAATTAAAATTATCTGTTGAACCTAATTTATCAACAATTTATTTCTGTTAAAAATAATTTGTCTACTTTTTAATATGATACAAAAATTTATTTTCAACTTATTAGACTTTAATGATTGTTTTTGGTTTTGTTTAGGTCTCTAATTCAATCTCATATTAGGTTACATTTCTGTGAACCATACTTAGAAAACGCTGAGAAATGTTACCTTTCTTGTTATGACTTGATCATTGGCTGCTGCTATTCTTATCGATACTTTAAGTTTCAGCTGTTTTATTGCCTGTCTTAAAAACTTGATGAATGCCACACCAGTAACATCAAATGATAGCCATTCTAACTTCATGGCATGACATTACAATGGGCCATATGTGGCTAAAGTATTTGTGTATAGTATTTTTATTAATATAATTATTACAATCACATGGCTTTATTATTTAATGCCACATATGGTGTAAACAATGATCAAACAACTTAAAAAATCTGGAAAAAATAGTAGTTGAAAGAAATATCCATACTTCCAGATTTATCCGGAAAAATATAATCCTTGGGTGTAAATAAAATTTTGTTGACAACTAGTAGAACTGTTGAAATTTTGTTTGTAAATAAAAAAAATAATAATAATCTAAAAATTATTTGGAATTTTTTCATTTCACTTAATGTTATATTAATAAAATAATAGATATAAAATAGTAGTTTATATTATAGTTATGTTATAGTTAAAATAAATAGATATAAAATAGTAATAATTTATTATTAATTTACTAAACTAAATGAATCTTTATTCATAAAATTTTTTTTTTTCCAAATGTTCATTTCTTGGTTTCTTTTATGTGTTATAGCTCTTTTGTTGACATCACTTACATTCACAATTTCAAACTATACCTTTAAAGATCATTAAAAAAATAATACATTAAAACAACTATTAACAAACTTTTTTTTTGAATAATTAGGTTTTAATAAAAGTAACTTCAAAACCAAAATCTTCAAGACTAAAGAAAAGACGAAGAGTTAGAGGCCAGGATAAGAAACATTTTTTTTGACAAAAACCGATTAAGATTTGTTAAATAATTAAACATTTTTCTATATTAAATTTCGAATGTTTTGATTTGTTTACATCCAGAAGAGAGCTGATAGACCCACTAGGCATGATGAGCTGAGGAAGATAGCTGAAACAATTAGGATGGTTCTTAATGATCCAAGGAAACAGACAACGAAGATCAGGAATACATTAACTTATTTTTCTGTGCAGCAACCTTGTTTGTCAAGATTCGTATTTTGTAGTTAAAGAGTTGAAAGAGGGTTGTAATCACATTAAAATAGCTTCCTTAACTGTGGTGGCCCTATCAGCAGTGGGGAGGTAAATAACAATAAAATAAAATATCAGTGAAAAAGATAAACCACCTTAATAAAAAAGTAGAGAAAGATCAGTCTTAGGTACAGCTTTTTAATAACTTTTTTTCAGCACCTTTTAAAAGTATTTTCTTAACAATATTTTACATTCAACACCACCTATCTCCTCCTCTTAGTCATTAAATTGTGTCATAAAAGAGAAGAAAAAGATTTGATTTCTAGAAAATTATTTTTCTTAGTTTCTGTTATGTTGTACCCTAATAAGATTATTACACAGACTTTAGCAATTAACCAACTTTGACTGATAAAACTGATAGACCTAAATCAAGACATAGGTCTGGTCTCTCAGTCTTCGAAGTAAATGAGCAGATCACTGAGAGAGGGTTTAATTGCAACAACCACAACAAAGTATATAAAATCTGGTATCAGTATAAAATATTAAACTCTGTTTATCTTTATAAAGCATCATCCAGAAGAAGCAGATGCTACTCCATTCTGGATGTACAAACTACTGCTAATATAGTATTTTATAAAAATTATACTGTTTTAATATTTTAGTTTTTAGACTGTAATAATATAATAATCTGGTTGATATTGCTGGATGATGAAATTATTAAATTGCCTTAAGATAAATATTTATTTAGGTTAAAAAATCCAAGAAGAAACAAAGAAGAACAAATCATTGTTGCTTTGTTTATATGATAAACTTTTAAAGCACATAGAAGAATATAAGTTGAGGTTCTCATTGATAGACTAGCAGTATCAGTTACAAGTTGTGAGTTTTAATCAAGCAATGATTTCTTCTTAGGATTGTTCTTGTAGACAGTAGAAATGCAAATCCTATGGTTATGATTATTCCAGAATCTGGTAGAATATTTTGATATATCAGAGAATATAAATGTTGCGTGCATTGATAGTGTAAGTACTGTAACAGTTTCAAACATAGGAAAGAAATCAGGAGCAGAAGGAATCCTTCCAAGGAATAATTATTATCACTTAATAGAATACCAAGCAAAAAATTACATTAAAACTCATTTTCTCAATAAACACCACAAAAACAATTACAAAAGATATTAATACAACCTTTTTTTATTTTCAAATATTTCAAATAATGGTAACAGTTTTGGTTTAACAATACTGGCATAAACAGTAATTTTTATACATAAAATGTGAACAGAGAATTGATTTTTAAATAGGGACCAACTATATTCTAGATTTTAATTTCATACAGAAAAATAGAAAACAACAATTATTTTTTTTAATACTAACTAAGGACTTGGGTTTAGGCAAAAAATTAAATTTAATTATATCATACTAATTTAATATGGAAAATTAAGAAAAAATAGAAATAAAAAAAAAATGATAACTAAATTGAACATTGAAATTGAAAAGAACATCATTCATATAATTACAAAAATTATATTAATCAAATCAAATTTTAATGGACTTGTTCAAATAAAGAATGATATTAACAGATGATAATTGTTCAACAACTTAAAAAAACAAATTCATACCAGGGATACCGGACTTCTCTAACAACAACTCCCATTGGGGTATTTCTTTTTCCAATCTTTTAATTTCTCGTTTAGTGCAACGATCATTTAAAGACAATGCTTGCTTAAGTACTTCATCTTCGTCACCCCTCAAAAATAAATGCAAATTACTTAGAATGGAATCAAAAAAAATCTTATCAATAAAACATAACACATGAAAGAGCATACATAATCTGATCATCAATTATCTTTGCTTCCATCTCATTGATCGATGTTGCAATACCGGATGACACATGTGATTTAACTAAAACAAAGATATTTCAATAAGAAATAAATTTAATACGTATTTATGTGTGTGTGGGGTGGGTGGTATTGTGAAATGTATTTGTATGTATTCATGGGGGCAGGTGGTGGTGTGAAAGACAATCTAGATTGATAATTTTATGTAGATAAATATTATTTTTTATAGTTTATCAAAAAAGTTAATCAAAATTTTCCATTTACATAAGCTACTAAATTTTAAAAATGTTCGCAAAGTGTAACTACCATAATTTAAAAAAAAATATTTGACACCAAGAATATTTAGAAATTCCAATTTTACCCTATATTTTTAAGTAGCCATCTTTAGAAATTATCTTGAGAAAAAAAAATCATGAAGGTTATTTTTTTTTCATTATTCTTTTCGAAATATAGGTTAAAATTAGTTTTTAGAGAACAAATTTTTCACAAAAAAAATATTTTTACAAGGCTGACTGAAGCTCTTCACTATTCCTTTTTGAGGCTTTATTAGAGAAAATAAAACTTTTATCCAATTTTAAGCTAAATTTTAAATTAACACTGTGTATCAACAATTTCTATACAAAGATCATTTACAGTTAACACCTTGTACCTTGCGGTTTTGTTGTAGAACAAAAACATCAAGTTAATATTAGTTTAGTTAGAACATAAGCTTTAGCATTAACTTAAACATTCCTGCATCTTAAAGAACTTGTCAATCAGTATTTTCCTAAAGACCATCAATTTTAAAATTTGGTTTTAAGTAGGAAATGCACAAAAAAAAAAAAAAAAAAAAAAAAAATGCAATAAAAAAAAACAACCTGTTTGGCAATTTAAAAGGTAATAATGTCGCAGTAGAAGCCAATGATCTAGGAGTGCCTCAGCAGATCTGTTTTTATGAAAAACATAAACATTATCATCTAAAAGATGTTGGAAATAAGGAATATCTCGAGTTCCATTCTAAAAAAAAAAAAATTCATAAAATTTTTTAATTTAATTTTACTAACATAAAGAATCACTCCTTTTTTATATAAAACACAATTAATTTTCTTAACGGTCATTTTCAGTGGCAAAAAAAAGTTTAATGATTTTTATGATACTGCTTATTGGTTATAGAAAAAAAAAAAAAAAAATCATAGATACTGAAAATATTTAAAAAAACTTATAATACTATATAAATAATAAAAAAAGTACTTTTATAAAAGTAAATACTTTTGTAGTACATACTTACAACACTTATATAATTTTTGTTACAGAATTTAGTGTAACATATCTATTAGTGTTAGACAAATCAAATTAAATATAGCTTAATATTTTTTAACTTGGAAAGAAGGAAAAAAAACAAAACCATATCAACATCTGCCAACAAACATTCTTCTTCACGTGACCATAATGCTTCATTTAATATTTTGTTGACAACATCTGCTGGAAGTGATTTAATAGCTTGTTGTGATAATCTTAGAATATATTAAAATAAAATTAACAACAAAATTTTCAATTAAGATGTAAAAATAAACATCGTTTAAAATACAAAAATTTCGATAGAATCAACAGTTAGTAAAAGTGCTTGTCTTTTTCCTCTAGCTCATTCTAAATAATTAGATTAATTATTAAACTTTAGCATAAATTATTAGATTAATTATTAAACTTTAGCATAAATTTAATAATGTATTAAACAGAACTTTCTGCCCTAAATAATTAAAAAAGAGTATCTAAAAACTGTTGTTATTTTCTGGAAAAGTACAGCAAGTAGTTTATATCCTTTTATTATTTACAAATTGCTATTGTGTCTCTAACAAAGTTGTTAACACTGGAAAATTTAATAATGTATTAAACAGAACTATTTCCATTACCTTGCATTTACTAAACATAAAAAGTAAAAAGTGCATCTAATCAACTTGTAGTGACTCCAACTACACAAAATATACTATCCAATACTTAATTGTCAATTTAAGGATATTTTATTAAAACTTGTTTGTGCATATGTTTGTTAACAAAAATAGAAAAAAGAATGTGTTGATGAAAAAAAAATCTTTCAATGAATCGAAAATACTAGAAATATGGTTGATTTTGCATACAAATCTTTTATAATTGGTTGCTTTTATTACCCACTATGGAATACCATGAGAACTGTATAACGAAATTATAAACAAAATTTTTTATAATCAGCCAACAAAAAAGTCCTAACCATTAACAGTAATTTTAACTTTTAGCATAGCTTTAAAATCTTTATCTTTAGCTCTTCTTACTAACTAACTACAGATTAATTTCCATCATTCCACTTCACATTACTGTGTAAAAAATGGAAAAAATGGTTTAAGATGAGCATATGCATTACTTAATTCTGAACACAATCTGTTTTCTTAATAACTTAATACAATTTAACTTTTTTTTTGCAATGTTGGATCAAAATGTTTCATGCAACCTGTTATCATTTGAATGCCACTACTAACTTCATTTAAATACCACTAGTTATTTGTTCCTATAAATAGTGTTATATAGACTATAATAATAAATAGATATGGATACTATTTATAAACCATATAACTGTCCATTAGATCCAAATATGGTTCATGCAACCTAATGCTAAAAAATATAAGTTTTAGCACATTAATGAATCCAAAAAATGACCCTTTTCTTATATTCAAAAACTCTTTACTTTAAAAAATAACTATATGCACATTAATCTGGTCTTTAATACTCAAATCTGCTACTGATCTTTCATGCATCACTAAAATTTACAATTCAATAATTTCTTATATACCTAGGTAGCTCTAATAAACAAAGTTTCATTTCTAAACAGGTAGATAATAATATTATTATCTACCTAAGGTACTCCTAGAAGACCAAGTCTTATTACAAAGGACTGTAGAAAAGCATTTAACCAGAAAGTTCACACCTCTTTTCTTAGTAATTGTTGATTAGTAATTTTCTGTTCTTTATAAACTTTTAGATTATTATAAAAAAGAAAAGTTTAATTTAATTTTAGTTTAATTACCTTGATAGAAGTGGATCATAAAGTAACGCAAACCAACGGTCTTGAATTTCTTTAAGAGTAAATGAACATGAGAAACGAACAGCTAAGTGGACAGCCTGTAAATCGCATGTCTAAATATAACAATATTACTAAAATGTTTATTAAACTTTTCTATCAACAAATCTTGAAAAGGAAAACTTAATATTTAAAAAAACTAAAAAAAAACAAACTTGTTGCACAGATGTGATCAGTCTTAGATCATCTGCAGGACGCCAACGCCCAAAATCACTTGGAACCAAATTTGACTAAAACCAGATTTATCATGAACAAGTGGTTATATAACCAAGATTAAAATTGATCAGTTATGTCTAAAACCATGTTATCTAACAAATCTTTAATGCATCTCATAATAAAAAAAAAAAAAGGCTAAAAACCAGCATTCGAAAACATTATACAGCATTTTTCATAAGACACCAGTTGATATATATATATATATATATATATATATATATATATATATATATATATATATATATATATATATATATATATATATATATATATATATATATATATATATTAGGGTGGCAATTAAAACAAAATTTTTTAAAGTGTCTGCTCTGAAACCCTAAATGTGTTCTATATAACAAAACCATACTGGATTTTAAAAGTTTTTTAATAAAAGGTATTTTTAGGGGTTCCATAAGACCCTTAAACATTAGACGGGTCCCTAATATCATTTAAAAAAATGTTTTTCTAAAGTATATCATGTTGGTTCTTAAAAGAAGCAAAATTATATAAAAACTTTAAAAAAAATTCACCATTTTATTAAAAAAACATGGATAAAAAGTTATAATCAGTAAATAAAAAAATAAAAAATGTTAAAAACATTTTTTATTTTTTTCAACAAAAGTTTTGTAAAAACATTTTTTATTTTTAGTTAAACTACATTTCATTTTTAGTAAAAATGTCATTTTAATAAAATGATATCAAGTATATCATTTTATTAAAAATTTTCAAAATTTTTAATAAAATGATATACTTGAAAGAAATCTTTTTTTCATAACATTAGGCCATCTGCTGCTTATGGGTATTGTGCAACACTTAAAAATAGTTTTTATCCAAAAAAAACCTTTAAATTCAGTATTATTTTATATAAAACACATCAAGGGGTTAAGGGCAGACATTTCAAATAATGATATTTAAAGAGCCACCCTAATATATATAAAAACTACTAAAAATAAAATGACATTTTTACAGAAACTGAAATGAATTTAATTAAAAATGAAAAATATTTTTACAAAATGTTTTGATTATAACTTTTTATCCATGTTTTTTATAAAATGATGATTTTTTTTATATATAATTTTGCTTCTTTTAAGAACCAACAAAATACACTTTAGAAATTTTGAAAAATGATATTAGGGACCCATCTGATTTTCAAGGGTCTTGTGCAAACCCTTTAAATACTTTTTATTCAAAAACTTTCTAATCCAGTATGGTTTTGTTATATAGAACACATTAAGGGTTTCAGAGCAGACACTCTAAAAACAAAAGTACAAAAAATTTAAGATTAATTTGTAATTAAATAATTTATACATCTTGAAATGTAAATATAGGCATTGGTATAGTAGCAGGTTTTGCAGCTATTTATTCTCTTTGTAATATTTTCTTATTATTCTCCCTCTTTCTGTATTTTATTGAAAACACAAACTAAAAATATTATTGCTTTTCTGCAAAATATGTACGATTAAACATAAAAAATGTATTTATAGTATGATATTAAAACTAATACATTAAAAAAATAAAAAAAAATTATAGTGTATAATCAAGTAATCAAAGTACAGAAGGTTTGTTAAATTACAAAAGTTTAATTAAATGTCTGTTTAATAATGAAGTTATCCAAATAAATAAGATTTATTAAATAAACTTTAGTTATATATATACATACTTAAATATAGAAAAAACAACTTTTAATGGAACTTAAAGTTTCATGCCTATCGGCAATCATCAGCCATGAAGTACAAAATCAAAAATATAAAAAACCGTTTAAAAATTACAAACTACAGTAGAATGAGTTCTGACGTCTTAGTACAAGAAGACGTAATGGAAAACTAATCTCCGCTATATTTTTATCCGCTAAATTTTTAAACGGTTTTTTATATTTTTTTATATTTTTTTTATATTTTTTTTATATTTTTGATTTTGTACTTCATGGCTGATGATTGCAGATAAGCATGAAACTTTAAGTTCCATTAAAAATTGTTTTTTTCTATATTTAAGTATAAAACGCTCTAGATAAAAATACTTATGATTTAGTACTAAAAATACTAAATAGTATGATTTAGTACTAAAAATACTAAACGATCAAGAGTTTAGTATTTTTAATACTAAATCATACTACAACAATATATATATATATATATATATATATATATATATATATATATATATATATATATATATATATATATATATATATAAATATTAGGGCGGGTCATAACCAAGGCTGTGGAGTCGGAGTCAGAGCTGCAACAATTTTAGCGGAGTCGGAGTCGCTAAAAAATATCACGGCTCCGACTCTGATAGTAAAATTTCTTGGTATTGCACATGCATGTACAAAACACTTAATTAACCTTATGTTCATACTAAACTTCAAAGAATGTCTCATAAATTTGTCAAAAAAAAAAATTCAACATTTTTTCAACTTATCGCGCAATATTTTTTAAAGAATTCAAAGAATTTTTTCAAAAAATAATAACAAAAAAAAATTTCCACACACACCTAGGGGTTGGACCATTCATTACAATGAATGCAAAAAACAAAAAAAAATTGAATTTTTATATTAACAATTTTATTTAATTTATGTAATACTAGTTTTTAAGTTTTTATATATTTTTATAATTTCAATATTATATTGATCCAAATAAATATTATACTGATCCAAATAAATATAAACTTTTATATATTATATATATTACAATATTATATTGATCCAAATAAATATAAACTTTAATATAGCTAAGAAATATTGTTCAGATTAATATAAGATGTAAAGTCCTATATTATATAGGACTTTACATCTTATATTAATCTGAACAATATTTCTTAGCTATATTAAAGTTTATATTTATTTGGAACAATTTGTAGAAGTTGCAATACATTTTAATATTATTTTATTTAATGTTTTTAGCATCAATATTTGTTACATATTTATAACACAAATGTACATATTTTATTTCTTAGTAATTAAAAATAGTATATGATTAATAAAAAGCAACTATTGTTAATAAAGCTATTGGTATTGATGCAATTGGTCTTTTTCTATAACAATTTTTTTTGAATTAAAAAAATTGTTATAAAACTGTAAGCATACCATTAGCATTATTATAAGTCATTATTAGAAAAGAAATATAATTTCAATTGTGGAAATGTAGAAATGATTCTCCTTTGTTTAAAAATAAAATAAAAATGATGCACTTAATTGCAGACCAATATCTTTATCATTAATTCCATATAAGATCATTGTAAATTATTCATAATGTAGTTATAAATTATTTAATTGGAAACTTTTTAATCAACATGGATTTACAAAAAATAAAATCTAGGTAATTAATTTGTTAGAAACATTAGATATAATAACAGATGTCCCTAAAAATAACACTTTTGAGAAATATATGCTTCCACCCCTAAATGTGTTCTGTATGATAAAAAACATTGGATGTTAAAATTTTATTTGAATGAAAAATATTTTATTCAAAAAAAAAATTGAACAGTTAACTCTTGAACATTTAATGAATTCTTAATATTAAAAAAAAAAGTTCTTTAAAAGCTTATCATGTTGGATCTCAAATGAAGTAAGATTATATGAAAAAGTTCAAAAATGATAACTATATTATAAAAAATGTGTGTGGTGTCACTATTAAATTATTTTAATAATTTCAAAATATTCTTAAAAACTCTTATTAAATTAATTTCTAATTAAACTTTTTGCAAATTGATTTGTTTTTCCTAGCTAGTTATACTCAAAATTTAATGTTTACATAAAAAAAGAAAATACCTTGACTTTGATCTTTTTTTTTGAAAGACTACTTGACACTTGTTTGTTGTTTACATTCTAAATAAATTTTGAAAATTTTTTATCAAGATTTCAAGACATTAATACATGATTTATCAGATGTTCTATCAGAAATCTCTTTGTAGTAAAACTCATCGCCGCTGACCTTTGTGTAACAACAAAAAAAACCCTAACATCACAAAATTTTTATCTGGGTCACTAAATTACTTCTCTGGTCCCTTTCCCTTGGTAAAAAATTATATATAAAACAAAAAATTTAAACACAATTTTAATTTAATGACAAAGAAACCAGCATTTTACAGTAAGTGTAGTATGTTAAAGATCTAATCAAATTTCTTTTTTCTTAACATCATTTTCTATTTTATATCTTGCTTTTATTTTAAACTTCTATTTTTTGTTTGTTGTTTTTTTCATTGAAAAGAAAACACATGAAACTTAATAAAATTGTATATTATTTTATTATTCATGAATTAATTTAATTTATTTTAATTTTTTATATATAAAAAGTTGCTCATATTTGAAGTATTATTCAACATTAAAGCGAAAAACTCATCTCTATTGAAATCACTTTAAAAACTTCATCTCAATTGAAATCACTTTAGCTAACATCTTCATAACATTTAAAGCATTATTATTGAATATGATAATATGTTTGGTCTCTAAATAAAGTTAACTTTTGCATGATTGCTTAGGGAAGGCTTGTGTGATCTGCATAAATGGAACCTAATGGATATATCACATGGTAAACACCTAAGAGAATACATTCAACAAGAAAGATTACTTTGCAATTTCTGTTGAGAATAGTTATAATATAGCTTAAAAATCTGAAGCAATATACTTCAAGAAAAAACCCCAAAATAGGACTTTTTTATCGCCAACAACTTACCTCCTAGATATATATTAAGAACTGCAAGTTACACAAGTTGTATGTTGAAATTGTTTAACTAGTTGAACATAAGTTTTTTTTGACAACATTGACAACTTAAAATTGCAGCTTTTTTCTTTACTTGTTAATAATCTGTATGCCATTCACAACTGTCTTAGATTGGAAGACAAGTTTTGCAAACTGAAGAATATACATGTCTAGAGTAATTTATTTTTGTCTGTTAAGTTTAAAGCAAAGTATTAAAGGCTTTATAAATTAACGAGTGAGAATAACTCACGTATAAAAACTGTTTTAAATTATTTTTTTAAGGTTAAACAGGAAAACTACGTCACTATAATCCTTTTGAAAAGGTTGGAAATTGACCTAGAATCAAAATTTCATTGGAAAAAACTAATGAGTTCCTAGATTGTTGATGGCTTAAATATAGGTTGAGGTTATTCTAGAAAAACAATTTATCTGGTGGCATCTTTCTGTCATACTTTTGATCTTCTACACAAATAGATCCTGATCTCCACCCCACCCAGCCCCACCCCACTTCCTCCTCTTAAAAATTTTTTTTTTTTTTAGTTTTTTAAAAAACTATTTTTTTAGAAGTTTTACTTTAAAAAAATATTTTTTTGAAATTTTGGGTACTGTACCGGCTAAACACATATTAAAAGTAAGAAGCACTTCACATTTTTATTTAAACATTTTTCTATTCCTAATGAATAGAAAAATTGGTTTACTAACTCTATTTACTAATTTTTTCGCTTAAGTTGCCATTCTTAAAAACTCGTTATACTTTTTTCTGCTTAAAATACTAATTAAAATTAAAAAGCCCACTCACTAAACATCATCAGCGATATTGTTAAGCAGTTTCGCTTCCTTGTCATAAAATATTTTTAACCTTTTTAGTTTTTATATTTAACTTGTTAATTTAACTTTTATAGTAACTTAATGATTTAATTATTTTATTTGTTTATCTTACTAAGAAGAATTGTTTCAAATATGTTAAACTTTTTAAACTACATAAAACATAAAATAGGTATTAAAAAGTTTAACTTTTTAAACAATTGTAAGATGTTACTTTATATAAAAACCTCGCTTAATTTTATTAAAAAATTATAAAAGAACGATGTTTCTAAAATATTTGTTCTAAACGTAATTTATTTTGCTTTAAGTTTTTTCACGTTAAAAGATATTTTATTTTCCTAACTTTTTTTTTTTGTAATTGTTTCTCATCGATCCTATTAATCTTTTGCGGATTTTTTTTTGCTTTTTAAAATGTTTTCAAAACGACTAAAAAATCTGGCCAGCTTTTCGCAACTAAATATTATTTCCATGGTTAGAAATTGAGAGCAATCGCTCCCGCTTCCCGACCAAGCCTGATAATCAAAACAAATTGAATCCATTTTCTAATTGTTACCTTGAGGTAACAATTAGAAAATGAAAATTTGGTTAAATCAATAAATTTCAGCAAAAAAAAAGATGTTAAATTAAATTTATAATTTTACTACAATTATCTAATTTAAAATTTAGATTTTTAAAAAGATAATTTGAATATATATTACAAAAAGAGAATGACAACCATATGAAAAACCTGAAAATATAAACATCTGATACTCAGTTTGTTTGTATTTAAAACTTAATGTCAATGGTTTAACACTTGTATGGTTTAGACAGGTTTTCACGATCCCATTTTACTATTTAAACATGAGATTATTTATACATACATTAAGACTTTTAACAACTGACATAGGTAATATAAAGTGAAGTAAAACATACCTTTTTTAACTTTATATCCACTGAACTTGAATCTGAACTTTTTCTAGCTGATAATCCTCTCTTATGTCCAGCTTCAACTAGTTCATCGTCAAACTTAGGTCTTTTAATAGGACGAGAAGAACTGCGACGAACACTTTTTAAGTCAGATTTAGGTACATCTTTCATAATAGATCGACTATAAACACTTCCATCTATACCTTGCAAACACCCTGAACTTCTATATGACTGATCCAATAACATAGATTGATTATTTTTAACAATACAGTGATCATTTTTTATTTGGTCTTCTAACATTATATATTTACTGGTAATATGAAATAAACAAATTATGTGAAAACCTTGCAAACCATAAATATTAAAAATATAACATAAATAACAAACAAATAATACAAACAATACTCAATAATAAATAACAATAACAATAATAATAAAAACAAATACTCAAAATTAAAACGATTTATGAGTATATTTATTTTATTTAAATTTATCAAAACTAATACATTTTTTTTAAATAACTTAAAATATTTAATTCAAATTATAATTATTTATTAAAAACAAAAAAGCACTGCATTTCAAGAATACTTTATTTTTATTTTGACTTGACAACAGCCCAGTTGGTGTAAAACAATAATTTTATTTGTATTTAAAAAAAATTCAAAACTTAGAATAAACTACTTAGAATAAATTTTATTTATAAATTATAAGAACAAAATATAAAACATGCCACAAGCTAAAAATTGACTAGTCAATCAATGAAAAAAAAAATTATAATAATATTTTAACTCTTTAAAAATAAACTATATCTTACATTAGTTTAAAGCTCTGCAACTCCATGGATATAATAACCTCAAAAATATCAAATACTGCTTGTACTCATTCAACAAACTATTACACTAACTGTGCATAATTCAAGAATTATAAATAGTGAAATAAAAGTATAATTTTGCTAAAAAATTGTTTTATCACTTTTTTTGTCTGGAGTTAAGTCAGTAAATATCTATCCAAATATAGAAAATTTTTAGCTTGAAAGTAATTATTTTAGGGGAAAAAGTACCTGAAACCTAAAAAGTACATCTCCATCATCTCGATGTTTTTTAACCAAACTTTTTTTGAAAAATTGTCTTGGTTAAAAAACATGCTCCTGTTATATGTTCTATATCATTATTTCTTTAATTAATTAAAAAAGTACTAGTTTTACTCATGTTCTGAAACCATTTTTATAGTTTCAAAAGATTGCTATTTAGTACTTTTCATTCATAACTTTAGATTTTTTTTATATTTGAAAAATAATAACTTTAAAACCATTATATATTATTACCAATATATATTATTTTATTGAAAGTGTACAGTGTCTCAGATTGTGTGTGTATATAAAGCACACTTTTCATAACAATCATGAAAACATAAAGCATTTTTAGGTATCTTTCGAAAGTGAGCAATTGTTTAAGACTATATGGATTCTGGTCAATTTTCAGGGTCTCTGAGGGAACCTTAAAACATTTTGTATCAAGCTAAAAATTTTCAACCAAAGATTATTTTTTTTGTGACAGCCTAATGCCAACTTATATAAACAAATTTGCATGTTTATTTGTGTGTGCATATATTGTTAATGGTTTATAGGTAAATAATTTTATACCAGAGTTTTCTTTCACCAAGGAAAGTTAACTTTGCCATGCCTAAGGAGCCTAACCAGCCTCATTTATACAAAAATATCTTTGCGTACTTACCTTAAACAAAATTGAAATAACTGTCTGTTGAGCTTCAGTAAATATATTTATCTGAAGGCTTGGATTATGACATATACAATCTACAAATGAATGATATTTATTACATGAAAATTGACAGTTGAATTGACAGTGCATGCCAGAACTGAATTATAGTATATGCCAGAATATGATTTTACAAAAAACCATTTTTAATAAAATTAAAAAAACTGATTTACTAATTTAAAAAAGATTATAAATTTACAAACTAATTATTACAATTTGAGGAATGTTATGTTTGTATAAAGCAAAAAACACTTAGAAAACAACACAAGATTTATTTCCCAAATATTTATGTACAGTAACAACAACATATCAAAATATAAGTGATCAATATATTTTTATCAATGAATATATAAATTAAATTTCCTGCTAAATAAAGAATTTAAGAATAAAAAATATTAACAACCAATAAACTTATTTAATTTTATTTAAAAAGTCCAAAAAATACTCTAAAATAAATTAAATTAAAAAAAAAGAATTACAATTAAAAAAAGAAATTAAAAAATTAAATGTTTATGTGTGTGCATTTACAACAAGATTAATTAACTTCTCTAAAAAAGATTCAATTATTTTTTCAGTCAACTTGAAATTAATTCATTAAGGTTGACCAAGTGGTATCAAAAAAGAAAGTTTATCACCAATTTCTTCCCAGTTTGCTCTATTAACTTGGTACATTACTACCCACACTGATATTCCAATTGACCATATGACAGCTCCCATAGCAGATATAATAACACTTCTTCTAATTAAAGACTGCCCTTCAAATTCTTCTTTACAAAATGCATCTCGAAAAAACCAAACAGTATTTATAAACCAAAGAAATGGCAAAAAAACAAAACCACCATACATATAAATTCTTGATAATCGAACTTTTTCTTCATCTTTAACTTTTTTCAAGTCCATTTTTATCAAAACTTAATTCACAAACTAAACGCGCGTGATATAACAAAGCCATTTTTGATACATTTCAGTTAACATTTTATTACTCTAAATGAAAATTTATATAATAGCACAAACGACACAAATTTATCACATTTATAAAACTTATAAATTTATCAGCTGGTAATATCTTACAAAGTAATTTAATTACAAAGAGGAGATAAATTAAACTAATTATTAATAAAAGCAGTTATTTAGGTAATAACTATTTTGGTAGTTAAATTTTGGCGGTAAATAAAATACCATATTTGCTACAGTTTGGTAACTTTATTGTAGTAATTACAATAATTACTATTAGTAAAAGTGAAATGATATTTACATATTTATATTGAACAAACAACTGTAACATCATTACAAATGATAAAAAGTTTATAAACTCATAAACCAGCATTACATTCTAAAAAAAGATAAATTTTTAGAATATAGTTATTTTTAGTTATTTGTTATGGAAAGATGATGCTAAATCGCTCCGCCCTTTTAACTTAAATTTGTCGCTTTTATTTCCTTGTTTTTCTTACCGTGAGGAAACACATAAAAAAAAAGTAAATTATTTGCGATAAAAAAAAGCAGGGGAGGGAGAGCGGAACCAATATACTAATTAAATATTTATATTAAACGGGAATTATTACCAATTTTTACATTTATTCTGGTGGTGGTTTTTTTATTTATGCTAGCGGTTTTTAATGGTGCATTTAAATTGGCGGTGCATTTAAATTGGCGGTTGTTGCATTTAACCTGGTGGTTTTTCCTTTATCATGATAAATAGTTTTGCAGTTATTGCTTCATTTAAGGTGATACATACCCATAAAATCAAAAAACCAGAATAACACAACGCACAACAATATACTATTTTTTATTTTATTCAAAACAAAATAATTTGAAAAAATTAAATCAAAAAAGTAGTTGATCGAGCCTTATGTGGGTCTTGAAATATCATGTTTTAATGTTAACAAAACCGCTAAATACAGAGAAAAACACAGAAATAAAACTAAACTAACAAAAAAACTATGATTTTATTAATATGAGCATGCTGAATTAGCTGGTATAATGTCATTTTCCTTCTCTTTATCCAGGAACCCTTTTCCGATAGCTCTTAATTTTCTTCTCATCATTATGCCTTTGGTTGATAACTTTCTATGAATGTTCTTTATGCGGTCTGTATCACTTTTTCTAAACGAATTTAGCATAAACTTTGAAACTGGCAATCCAAGTACTTGTATTATTGGTGTTAAACCAGATTTACCATCATTAAATTTAATAACGGCAGAGCAAATACCTATTTCAAGAAGTTTTCTAGATACAAAAATCTCCGTAGGAAATTTTTTCCACACCATATTGTTAAAGCATTCGTTTCTATTTTAAGTTTGGACATGCAAACATTTTAACAACAATGAATTTGTTGATAAGTCATGCCAAACTGGCATTAGTAAATCTTTATTTGTAATTGGAAGACTCAAGTTATTTTTATAGGTTGTGTGACATGTTGTTTTGCCAGCCTGCCATAAACACCAGCTATCTTTACTGCCTGGACAAAACCGATGACGAACACTTTCATCAAAAAAGTTTGTATTGTGAAACAATGTTGCCCGTATAGTTTTTTCATTAAATAAATGTTACCAATCACGGCGATTTTTTTTTTATTGATTTTCTCCTACTTGCTATGATTACGAAACTTTCGGATGCTGATGTAACGAAAACAGTTTATTTTATTTTAAAAAATTCATAATGGTTTCTAAACTATAATTTTCACCGATAAAATAACTTACTATCAAACTCGTAGATAGACTCCATCCATGGTGCATCTTATGATCTAAAAATTCACACATTTCTTCATAATGTGTATATCTAAAATTCCAGTTTAAAACATATACCTTCTGATGACTGATGTCGTAAATATATACGTATTTCATTAAAAAACAGTGATTTTTATGTCTATTTTGCTTAAAACTACTATTTAACCGTAATTTAGACATATAGTTGTAAACTGGAATTTGAAATCTTATTGAAATTTATCTTTATAAGTAATAATATTATTAGTTAGGGAAACCGTCATTTAGTCTATCCAGCTGATTATTTCTAGTTTTGGTACTAATTTTTTAAATAAATTGAATTTCAATATCTAAATAGCTTTTAAAGAACAGAATAAAGAGCAAAAAACCACACGATATATATTTAGACATAAAAATACATAATATACAAAAATACATAAATATATATCCTAATTCAATGATAAAGATGGTATTTTTATGCAACTTTTTATAAAAATTGAAAAATTGCGGACGTTTGTACCAAATTTCGTATTTCTCAAAATAAAGCTATGGGAATTTTTAAGGCAAAAAAAATCGCCGTGAATATTTTGCCTAACAGCTCTACTAAAATAATTTTGAAGAGTATTGATAGCTTTTTCACTGAGTCTACCTATACCTGAGACACCTTTTCCATCAGGTAACTTTTTATCTTAATGAGTTATACGAATATTTCTGCAACGAGTACCTACGCGTTTTTGAATGTGTCCAATACATTCTAGCTTGGTAATTGGAATCTCTCCATAGGGTTTAGATAATTGTACTTGATTAAATGATGTAATGTCACCATCACCAATGTATTCGGTATACATAAGATTACTTTCAGATATGGAACGAGAAAACATTTTAGCAGCCCCAATAGCTTCCATGTGACCAGAGCTACCTGCATGATTTGCCTGGCAAACATGACTGAGTTTCCAGTTCACATATTGAGGAGGTTGTTTTTTATGCTTTCACATTGCACAACTATAACACTTTTTTGAAAAGATTTATAGTCTAAACACTTTCCGTTAATTGTTGAAATGATAGAGACAATACCATTAGACGAGATGTGTCCTCTCTTCTGGCATGAACCGCCAACAAAAACTGCAAGTCATCATTTTATCACTTTTCTGTTCTCTTAATTTTGCTATTTCCATGGCTGCTTTAGTCATAGATGCTTTACAAACACTAGTATACACATCATGCAAAACATTAGTAATACTACTATAAAAGAAATAGGTGGTGGCATATTTAATAATGATGTTAAAGAATTAATAGTTCTTTGTCCTCTCCCAATTTCTCTAAATGCTATCACCATTTTAACATTGATTGCAAATAACTCATTGCTACTATATTTAGTGACATTGTTTCTGTTTTGAACATAAGAGATATTCTATGAAGTTTTATAATTTTGATGCCATCGATAAGAACTTGAAGCACATGATAGTTTTAGTTCTAAACAAAATCCTTGTCGCTTAATTTCATTATTTTCAAACTTAATATTATTTCCACAGTAGCTACTTCTTCAACTAGAGATTTCAATAAACCAAAATTAATAATAATGTTATAATCATCTTTGTCTTCAAGAACTATTGGGTTGAATTTTATTTTTCTGAACTGTAGTTACTTGCTGATTGTAAAGAACCAGATAAAGAGTTTTGTTTATTTGTTAAATGATCTTCTCTTTTTTGTGTATACTGGTTACAAGCAAATGATCTCTCTTCATTTCTGGAATGTGTTCTTGGCATATTATTTATTCAGTGATGTCAATAAAAAAGTGTAATAATAAAATATAAACAAAGTAAGGATTTGCACGCTGTACAAAGGCGGTTGGCAAAAGAAATCACTCAGATATCGATCAAAGTCCACTTGTAATTATGCGCATATTTGCTTTAGGTATAATTATACAAGTTATAAAACTCTAAACGCGCGGTCTTCAATTTATAAAACTCGCGGTCTTAAAGTTATAAAATTCTAAATACGAGGCTTTTAAAGGAACACAAAAATTGGATGTGGAAATAAAAAGGTAGTTTTAAAAAGTTATATAGGATTTCCAGTAGTTAACTTAACAAAACATAAACAATTTAAATTAAAAGACTAAATAGCGCAATTGAGTTGTTTACAAAATATTATAAAAATAATATAAAAAAATTAAAGTTTTGAAAAATCTATTTCAATAAATTTATCAAAACAATATTTAATAGATTTATCAAAACATTTTTCAACTCATTTAGATTGTTGACTTAGTTACCGGTTTTTACATCCATTAAAAACAATCATGACAACCATTTAAAACAACCATGACATTCGTTTAAAACACAACGACAATCAATTAAAGCAATGTGGTTTTAAATTAAAACAATCGTGATTTTCAATTAAAATCTTTAACGCATGCGTAGTCTCAACATTCTATATTATTTAAAAAAAAAAAGGTTTTCTTTATATATTTTTATTTTTTTTATTTGATTTTTTAAAATTATTTAAAATTTTATTTTATTTAAAATATAATGTTTATTTTCTGATTACTGTCGAGGTATGTCATCTGACCTAAGACACGCTTCGAAAAAGCTTTCGCAATGTGTGTAATATTTTGATAAGTTAACATTAGGAATAGATAAGCATGCCTCACGCATTCTTAAAATTAGTTCATTTCTTCCTGCTGGAGCCGTATTTCTTCGCACGTTATTCTTGTGATAAAAAAAAATCTCTTCACACGGAATCAAGAATGGTGAATATGGTTACAAATATTTTATTTGAATGTTCTGAGCCCTCATCTCAACATTATGATGGATTCTGACATTATCTATCACCAGGGTGAATTTTTCCTCTGTCCCTAAAACTCGTACAACTTCATCAATATATTCTTTAAACCATTGACGGCAAATATCATCGAAACGATACGCTGCCTGTTACTCCTCTTCTTTCCCATAAATGACTGCGAAACATGTGTAAATTAAATGGACTTTCATCAATAAAAACAATATTTCGATAGCGATTAATAGGCAAGATTAGTATACTACCTAAAATATTCAATACGAAGATTTTTTACATCATTGTCGTTTCTTCTTTCATAAATTGGTCGAGTAATTTTATATGTGTATCCAAGATTGGTCACCCATCTCCAGACAGTTTTAATCGATAAATTTACATTTAAGGGTATTTAATTTCAATTATAGTTGTCGTTGCATTATCGTTTATAAGCTCATAAATTCTTCTTCTAATCTCTTCATTATAAATAACGTGACAAGCGCCACCTCTAGAACCAGAAAGTGTTGAATTCGTTCGATTTTCCTTTCTTAAAAATGATTATATTGTGTTTCGATTAAGTCCTGTTAACGATGAAGCTTCAGATTGAGTTTTTCCTTGATCAACGACTAGGTTTACAACAAGATCACGCATGTTTTGGAATTTCGCGGCATGAAGATTCAGATTTAATTTTTCTTTGATCAACGACCAATCTCAAAACAAATTTTCGCGTATTTTGGCAAACAGAATTTCGCTGCATGTTTTAACGAAAATCTAATATCCTCACGCGCTAAATGTTTTCATAGGAAATCATGGTTGTTTTAATTATCATCATGCATGTTTTAATTGAACATCATGGTTGTTTTACCAATACAGTATGTGTATAAAAAACATGTAAAAAAAAATATGGTTTTGCACCATTTAAAACAAACATGACATCCATTTAAATTTAAAATAAATTCCATTAAATTAAAATAAATAAATATAATATTAATGAAAATAAATTTATATAATATTAGATAAATAAATATATAAAAAAAAACTTTTTTTTTATAATTTTTATAATTTTTTTTTATAGGGTCCAAATAATATAAAATGTTGAGATTGCGCATGCGTTAAATGTTTTAAATGAAAGTCACATTGTTTTAATTGATTGTCGCGGTGTTTTAAATAAATGTCATCGTTGTTAACAACGATGACATTAAAAACATGTTTTAAATGGTTGTCAAGATTGTTTTAAATGGATGTAAAAACTGGTACAAAAAGATTAGTAAATGGTTTTTGCGGCTTTTCATAAACAAAAGATTTTATAAACATTTCAAAACAATCTGCATATTTTGCATAATTATACCAAAAGCAAATTACTCATAATTACAAGTGGACTTTGATCGATAGTTTCTTTTGCCAACCGTACAAGACTAAAACTGAACTAAACTGTATGACTAACAACTATAACTTAACAAGCTGTTAAAAAAATTTTCATCGTCAAAAACTGATCATTAATATAACTTTAAAATTCAGTCAGAGGGTGGTTGCTAAGGGCGTTGCTATGTCATTTAAACTTAGACAAGTATTGCTGCGATTGAAGATTTATTTTAAGACAAAACGGTTGTTTTACGTTAGAGTCATATTGTAAAACGAGTTCAATTTATTATAATTAATATATTTTGTATACAAATATGCGATAAACACAAAAAAAATATTGTAGATCACAGCTAGTAGTAGAACAGTTGCTCGAGTCCGTTAATGTTTGATAGGTTACTCCAAGAGAGAGAGGCTTCGATAAGCACGCTATTTATATACATATTCCCAAGGGGGACATTAATTGTTTAGTATAAGCAGCCAATCCAAATGATTTACGTTTACAATAACTTGATTAGCGCAAAAAAAACTGAACTTTGAGCTTAAAAAATGTTTATATTGCTACGCAGGGGCGGCTTAAGCATTATGGAAAGAAGGTTTTTTTTTACTATTTAAAAATTATATCTGGATCTGATAATACTACTAAGATATAATATATCAAATAATAGTTAAAATAATAATAGTTAATAATGTTATTGCATATATATATATATATATATATATATATATATATATATATATATATATCAAACAAAAGAGAGTGGATTTTAAATGTTGACAAGGTGTTATTGGTATGTATATTATTTCTTTGCGCTGCTCCCACCGAACTTGTCTTAATATATATATATACATATATATATATATATATATATATATATATATATATATATATATATATATATATATATATATATATATATATATATATATATATATATATATATATATATATATATATATATATATATATATATATATATATATATATATATATATATATATATATATATATATATATAATATATATATATATATATATATATATATATATATATATATATGTATATATAAGTATATGTATGTATATTAAGGTACGTCATACTAAAAAATTTTTAAAAAATACATTTGGGGAGTGATTTTATTATGGGTTGGGGTTAGCTAAGCAATATTCAAACAAAATAAAATCACTCCCCAA